CGTGCATTGTTGCGGGCAGCGAGGGTTGGCTACTCCTGGGCCTGCTGCAGCAGGGGCTGGGGTGAGTGGGGAGAAGTGGAGGCCTGGGGCTGCAGCAGGGAGTAAAGTGGAGGGAACAGTTAGTGGGTGCAGAGGGCCAGGGGAAGGAGGGGCAGGCATGGCTCTTGCTGCTATGCACACCCTGGGAGGGCTATGGGCTGAGGTGTTGTGCTGGGCTCTTCCTGCAGGGCGCATGCCCCCAGATCTGCGCACAGGACAAGAGCAGGCTGCCACTGCAGGCTGGGGCTCGCAGCAGCACCAGGCTCTTCCTGGCGCTCAACAGCAGTGCTGTAAGGGCAGGTTGGGGGTGCTACAGCAAATTCTGCAGTGGCTGCAGCACCCATCCCAGCCCCACCACAAGCACCAGGAAGAAACTAGTGCTGCTGCTGACCCCAATCAGCAGCAGCAGCAGCCTGTGTTCATCCTGTGCATAGATCTGGGGCACACACCCCCTGGGAAGAGCCCAGCATAGCCCTACAGCTCTACTAGAGTGCACACAGTAGCAAGAGCCACACCCCCCAGTCCTGTGCTGCGTACCCACTGACAGTTCCCTTTGCTTTGCTCCCTACTGCAGCCCCACGAGCAGCTGACGGGCTGAACAGCACCCTTCCCCTTGCCCCTTCTCTAGTCCCAGCCTTCCTCCCTCCCTCCCTCACCGCCATGGGAACACATCCCTATTTCTTGCATTGTAAACTGGGTTCCCTTTATGCAAATTTGATTTATAAGCAGTATGTGCATTCCCAGAAAACTGCATAAATCGAGGGGAAACCTGTATGTGGATTTTGCAGAGTAGATTGATGTATCCAATATTGTTATAAGCTGTTTTGCTCTTTTTTTGGTACTAAATAGAAACTGAGTCATAGGAAATACTAAGAGAGTCTGGTATAGCAGAAAGGTTGGGTTTGGTCACTTAAATTTTTAACTTCTGCTGATACCAAAGCCAATCAAAGGTACTAATGGTACCTTTCGGTCAGGCATATTGGGTCAGCCAGAGCAAAGAAACTTTTATTGCAGTTACTAGTGCCACACGTTTTATGGATAAAATTGTTTTTTATGATTTGCTATCCTTCTGGTACCTTTACTGTTATCTTATGAAGTAAGATAATTGTTATCATACCAGATAAGTCTTGCGACACTTGAAAGGAAGTTCAAATAAAAGTGAATAATAATCAGTATTTGGAAAACTGATACAGCCCTGGTATGTGAAAAGGTTTATTTGACTGTACCTTCAGTTTTTACAGAAACTAAGTTTAAACTTAAAAATATATAGATTCAATTTTTGGTCCTTGGAGAAATGACCTTCCTAATACAAATGGAATGTAAGCTGTGATTTCATATATTTCATAGACATTAGGGCTGGAAGGGACCTCGGAAGATCATTGAGTCCAGCCCCCTGCCCCAGGGACAGGAAGTCAGCAAGATAAACCAGATTTCTCTTGAAGGCATTCAGCATAGGTGCTTGAACCACCTCCGGTGGCAGGCAATTCCAGACCTTGGGGGCTCAGACAGTAAAGAAATTCTTCCTTGTGTCCAGTCTGAAACGGTCGTGCAGGAGTTTTTAACTGTTTGACCTTGTCATCCCTTGGGGTGCTCTGGTGAACAAACATTCCCCCAGATCCTGGTGAACGCCCCTTATAAACTTAGAGATGGCCATCAGATCACCCCTGTGCCTGTGCTTTTCCAGGCTGAAGAGTCCCATAGCTCTCAGCCTGTAATCGTAAGGTCTGTTTTCCTGACCTCTGATCATGCATAGCTCTTCTCTGGACTCTCTCAAGCTTCTCCACATCCTCTTTTGAATTGTGGAGCCCAAAACTGAGTACAACAGGAGAATGACGTCCTGGGATTTGCTTGAGAAGCATCTGGTGATGTTCTGGTGTCTTTTAAGTATGACTTCCAGTATGTTTACTGCTGTTCACAGCTTTGCCAATCTGCATGAGAAGACTGCTACAGAACTGGCCATCTTTATTTTTACCATTCAGAATTCTGGGTGACAGTGATCGCCTTCATTTTGGTGCCGTTTGATTCCATAAGCAGTAGCAGTATAGGCAAATACTAGATACCCATTGAAGGAAAATCCAAGAATAGTTACTTGGGAGTTGGGGAATATAGCTAAAGCACCTCTTCTTTCAGGAAAAAAATAAATATATTTGATAGGACACCATCCTTACAAGAAAGAAAAATGTGAAGTGACAAAGGGAAGTGATAAATTACAGTTTAAAGGAACAAAAAACACTTGGAAAGTGGTGGAGTTGGGCCGGGGCTTAGCAGCAGAAGTCATTTTATTCACTCCAGCCAATGAGGTTAGTTTTCAAGCTGGCAGATGGCAGCTGTAGTTAGAGGAATACTTAAACATTTATAACCAAAGATCAAACATATCGTCAGTGGGAATAAGCTGATGAGTATTAGCGTGCCCGTCATGACTGGTACACAAAAGTCAAGGCTGTGACAGTGAAAAGTAAGAAATATTGAGGTTGGTCTGTCATAGACCAGTGGTTGTCAACTTTTGGCTTCCAGACACCCTTTTTAGTTTCAAGGCACCCCTTGGAAAATGGTAGGTCTTTCCTTTCACTGATTTCTTTTTTTTTTTCCCTTACTATGGAAAAAATAATAGAGTAGTTTGTTCTCTTGCAAAGAACTCAGACCACAACAGGTTAGAGCATTCCTAACATGGTGGATTTTTCACCTCATGACACCCTTGAAAAGCTCTCATGGCACCTGGGTTAAGAATTGCTTTCTTAGGCTCTTTCCATTGTTTCCTAATGCACATCTAAAGATCTTTAAGCATTATGCATCTGTGAGTTAGGGACTTCAAGTTTTTCTATAAAAGTTAGGTGCAAAATTTGACTCTGCATTTATTAAGGTTTGTCTGCACTATAAATCCTTAATTCAAGAACATCAGTATTGTTCAAACACAATTAATCATAAGTACCTTAGAAAATGGGCAACTCTCTTAGGGACTCCTAAGATGGTTGTGTATGTACCACAAATGGGCCCTAGCTTATCTAATTTGTAAATAACTGAAAAGAATGTAATGTTGAATACAGGCAGACAAGGTTCCTTGGGTGAATTTGATATCTTTTATTAGACCAACCCAAATAGTTGGAGAATAATTATTAAGCAAGCTTTTGAGTTCAAAAACCCTTCGTCAGGCTAAGGAAGTTTCAGCAGTAGGTGTGTGCTCTTCCTGGATGGAATGAAATGTTGAATACAGGTGTTTCAGGGTGGGCTTTTTAAAGAACCCTGTAGTGACTAGCATATTCTCTTCTATGACAACTAAAATATACTATATGTTTGACAGATTCAGTAAGGATATCAGTCTCTGCCTTAGGATAGTTATATTAACGTTTAAAACTTAAATCCTTCTGGAATATATTTAGTATTTCACATTCATTAACAGGTTGTTTTTTTCTTTGTCTCTTAGGTTTTATTTGTGGCTGGCCTGGCTTTTGTTATTGGTTTAGAAAGAACATTTAGATTTTTCTTCCAGAAACACAAAATGAAAGCCACAGGCTTTTTCCTGGGTGGCGTGCTTATAGTCCTTATTGGTTGGCCCTTGATAGGCATGGTCCTTGAAATTTATGGGTTCTTCCTTTTATTCAGGTAAGACTTGCTTACAATGGAGTTCTTCACTTCTTATGTCTTGTTTTTCCTCCTAATCTTGCAGCAGTCACTGTCTCCATTAAAACTAGCAAATTGAGGGATTGTTTTTAACTGTTTGTGCAGATCTGAGAGTCGTATTTGCAACAAGCTGGAATGTGGATACCAGTCCCCCATTTGAGACTAAGCTATCTTAACCCTGTTTGAGATGTATTACCTCAAGTCGCACTGAATTTGGCAGCTTCATGCTGTGATTTTTGTAACCAACAAAGAAAGACATTTAAAAGGTCAATATATCCTGTGGGCCCGAAAGTAGGCTGTGTGCAGCTTAGCACCACCTGAAAAAGCATCTTGACAAGTAGCACATATCTGTAAATTCTGGTTGCATTCAGTTTAACGTGCACTTTTTTCTTTTTACACATCTTGCTGTGTTTGCAACTAAACTTTCTAATGTTCTTGTAGTGGAAAAGAAATAAATAATGAAAAGAGATTTGATTAACTTATCAGGTGCTTCAGGGCTATGTCTGCACAGTCATTTTAGCATCCTTGGCAGCAGCACCTGTAAACACACACAGCTGCTCTGGGCAAGCTGCCTTCTGAACCATGAAGGGCTTTCTTCCAAACCAAGCAACTACAAGTGGGCTAATTGTCACTGTTAACTTAAACTGCTTAGATGGCCACACTGCTTCCAGTTTAGGAGACGGGCTGTTTGGAGTAAGTAGTACAGTGTATCTAAGTGTTGCTGATAAGAATGGTACATTTAACATGGACAATGGCAATAATTTCATCATGTGTGCCTAGCAGTTACTTTTGTAGGTAGCAGCATTTCTTCATGGGGTTAACAAAGGTGAGTTAGAAATATGGAAAATCATTATGTACAATAGGTTTTATATTTTCTTCAAAATTTTAAAAAATGCAGTGTCAGTGGAATGGACTGAACACAGTACATGATTCCTTTAAAATCAAGAAACAGCACATTGCTTTCACTTTACTGAAGTACCCAGTCTATTGGCTGAGAAGAGGACATTTTATATATGAAGCAGTGACCCCTAAGTTTCCAGTAAAATCATCATTAGTTCATTCAAATTGTACTGGACTCAGGAGACTCATGACAACCCACTGTTTTTCTTTTTGTTTTTCTGTTTTTCCATAGTGTTTCAATGGCAGGGGGAAATGAATGCATTTCAGTGGGAATGGGATTTTCCACTCTTTCACCTTGTTATACATCATCAATACATAATCTTATATTTCAGTTAATAGGATGGAATTTTCAAAAGAAGTTGGCATTTGGCTTAATTCTGTTCTCATTGAAGTCAAATGGGGAGGCTTTTGAAACTTCATCCTTGGGTTCTAATTTAGAAATGTTTGCAGTTCACGTACTTCATTAACTTGCTAATTATTACCACTAGCATTGTATAATGTATACAGAATGATTAGGCTTGTTTGAGTATTGAGAAAAGAAGTGTTGGTTTTAGGTTTCTCTTTATTTAGTCACTTATGGATGACTTCTGTTTTTGCTGTAAATGTGTTGTTAATTGAATTTTTTCAAAAAATGTAGCAGAAATTATTTCACTACATGTACCAGTGTCTTGTTTATACAAACAGTTCGGATCTCTAGCCCAGCCAATGTAAAGTAGGAACTGTGCTTTCATAACGGTGAAAAACTTTAAATGCCTTCTTAAAATCATTACAGAGTTGTACCTTTGAGCTGATATAGTTGCAGTTCACACACAGTTCAGCTATTCTCACTAGGTGATGGCAGCATATTGTATGTGAAGGAACAGTGTCCAGAGGAAAGAAGTGGTTAAAGCAAATGCCTTGTAGAGTCTGACCACAATCTTAAGAGAAAACAAGAGTGTTTATTAAAATAGAATAGTTCTCAGAGCTGAGGTTTCAAATAATTTTGTTTCATTTTTTCACTCTTGGTGAAGTTAAATTTGTCTACTAAAATTAGCTGCTTTTTATTTGTCTGTTTCTACGTGGTCCTATACTAACTTCATAATGCTGTGTGTGTGATATCTCACTAACTTGCATGACCATAGATTACAGTGTGTGGATGCCCTGCTGCCTTCTGCACCACAAAAAAGATGGTCTTTGTCTTAAAATCAAGGGGATAGAGCTTTTCCAATCATCTGAAATATAAAAGGAAACTCAGTAAATAACTTGATAACAACATTGTTCTCTAAAAAAAAATCCTTGTTAAAAATTGTTCTGATAGATATTGCATCTGAACTTCATGAGTCTCAGATTATTAATCTGTTTGAATCAAATATCTGTCAAAAATCTAATGGCTGCTCTACTGAGACCTTGGTTACTTTACAGGACAGATTTGCACTATATTAAAGTGTACCATGGATTTACCATACATTTTGTCAGATATGTGAACAGACTTAATGTTGTTCCTTGTTTTTAAATCATTACTAAATAGTTGAATTTTGGTCTTCTGCATCTGGCTTCCCAAAACATTAGGAGCTACCCCAGAATCGAGTTCTGCTTCATTTACATATAGTTACTGTGAGAATTTTATTCCCTAAATCACGTGCATCAGCAAAACTGTTGGTTTAAGTATGAAAATAAATTGATCTTGTGCTTGAGTAACTGTATGTTGAAAAGTTATTGGGGATTTTATATGTTGAAAAGCCTGTATGTTGAAAAGTTATTGGGGATTTTCAACGTGCAGATTAGTTGGGAACACCAGTATTTGGAATGATTTAACTGAATTCCTTTTGCTGTAATACCCATTAATTCAAAGCCCACACAAGTTTTCAAACTCAATTTATTTGATGCTTTTTTTTTTTTTTAAATAAAGCCATGTCTATACTTTTTTTTTTTTTTTAAACTTGGGTTTAAGATGCAGACCATCTTTACAATAAATATTTCCTTTTAAAAAGTACATCTCGTATTCAAGAGAATACAGTAGGTACTTTTGAAAAACCCAACCTATAAAAGCAGGCTCTTTTGAATGTGGGGGAGGGAGATTTTAAATGGGATGCTTTTCTCTGTAATGTTCTTTCCCTTCCCTCCTAAATTGTCATAGCCCATATATCTACAACAGAACTACTTTGTTGCTAACAAGCTGCAGTAATTCAGTGCAATCCTGTTTTTAAAGGACTCCTTCTTGTCTGTATGCAAGAAACAATGAAAATAACCTATAGTCTAAAATCCTATATCAATTCCTAATTTTTTTTTATGTTCCAGGGGTTTCTTTCCTGTGGTGGTTGGTTTTATTAGAAGAGTTCCGGTTCTTGGTTATCTCCTGAATTTACCTGGAATAAGTTCGGTAAGTATGTCCTACTTATTAGCTTTGAAGCTTTTTTTTCAATGCATGATTGTTGTAAATCTACCATATAGTAATACAGAAAATGTATGCATGTAGTTTTAGAGCAAAAAATGAGATGGGCAGCTTTCGCTTTTTTGTGTGTGTGTGCAGCTTTTGCACATTACAGGTTATAGTCAGGTCTAAGCAAGAGATTTAAGTTTCCACTGAAGCTAATGAAAGTAAGGAGATTTACAATGGACTCTCCTTGCCTCACTGTAGTCAAACAGATGAACTACTTGAGTTGATTCAGTTTATTTAGGCCCACTGTGCCAAGCTGTTTTTGCCATTTACTAAGTTTGTATTTTTTCAAAAATAGTTTCCCATTCGCTTCACCCAGAACTGTCCGATATATCAAAGGAAACCTCATGCAGCCTCTGGTGGTTAAGTTGTGGACCACAAGCTCCTGTCTGGCTGCTGGTCCCCCTGTTGCTCTGGCTGCAGCAGCAGCTGGAATCTCTGGGCTCCCCCTCCTTTCCCCCAACTTTGGTCACCTGTTGCCATCCCAGAGGGTGAGGTAGTGCTCTGTGATGCAGCAGTGGGCTGGGGGGGCACATAGTGCATTGGGGGGGGGTGCACTTATGTGGGTGTATGGTGCAGCAATAAGGAGTGGGAGGTCTTGCATGGGGGGGGTGGGGAGCATATGGTGCAGCAAGGGGAAGGTTATCTACAGCGTGTGGCCTGTGGCTTGCCCTAGTGCAGCATGTGATCCCCCAGCCACTTAGAAGTTGGATACTCCTTTCTTAACCAAAAAGCCAAGGAACTGAAGAGAATGAAATGATACTCAAGACAATAATCTTGGGGGAGGGAGGCTGTCAACTACTTTTACTGTGCAAACTTCTATATATACTTGTAACTTTATTTGTGTTTTTAATCTTAGTTTTGAAAGATATACTTTAACACCTACTTTGTAAAATTGACAGAATATGCAGCTAAACTTAGTCTGGTTTGAAAAAACTGATTTTAAATTTTGTTTGTTCTAAATCTGTCCCCTAACAGTCTCAGGCAAAGGTCTGATTCATAATCCATGATCAATTGAATGCTCCATTCAGAAATTGATCTTGCCTATATATAATTTGATCTTAATGGGGTTAAATCCTATTTAAAAAGATAATTGTTAATGTTTTATTCAAAGCCTACGTAGGCTCAGAAGAGAATCCACAGTAATGGTCAGTTGATATAATCTCATTCGGTGTATTAATGCATGTGTGGCTGACATTTTTTCTTTTTTTTATTCTTATTGGTCATTAAGCTAGCAGCATTACCTGCATTCTTCTGATTTATTTTTTCATCTGTTGTGTCTTCACGTTTTGCTGTTTATTTATATGAAACAGATCATGCAGAAACACAATTGCAATATAAGACTTAATTTTACAAATGCTTAAATCTCATAAGACTTGGTGAGTACTTTAATCATTTTCAGTCACATAGTGAATGTGCACAAGTACCAATTTATTTTTGAGAACATCTTGAGTGTGGATAAGAAATGTGTGCAGGTAACTTAAAGAATTCTCTCTCTTGTCTTCTCTTCTACAGCTTGTAGATAAAGCTGGAGAAAGCAACAACATGGTATAATGACAAGTGCACAGAAGACTGGTTCTAAAGTTACTGTATTATTTATAAAGTCCTTTTGAAGAATATTCAGCACAAAGTAAATTGTGTACAAAGGAAAAGCTTGTAACATTCTTTACATAAGTTTAATTTAAAATGTATAGTCTACAGAATACATTAGAAAAGAAGCTCAGCAAGTGTGCTTCTAAGAAAATGACTCAACATTCAGTAAGCAAACTGAAGAGGTCAAAGTCATGGGATAATCCATGTGTAACAACTGTTCAAGACAGCTTTCCCTGTTCTTGGAAAACATGCTAACTGCAAGGAACCTTCCTGGAACGAATGATGCCTGTACTTTACCTCCTTATTTTGAAGGTGCAGTAGAGCAAACAGGTCTTGATTTCTAAAGCACTCCCTTTCTGCCAACCTAACCTTCCACCTGCCTTCCTCAAAAAAATAAAGTCCTTCTTTAACAAGAGATGGTTTTTGCATGGAATTAAGATGGATGGTCATCTTTAGGTGTGTGTGATAACAAAGGAGACCCCCCACACACTTCTGCTGAAAATGTTTTTGTAAATGTGTGGCTAAAATAAACTTTTGTTACCTTAATGTTTCAAAGCCAAATGTGGTTGATTGTATTTGTCTCCTGTTTTGGAATATGCAAATGGTCAATCTTAAGTAATATTTGATCTTGAACCTGTACAATTCAACAAGGAAGTTTGAAAATTGATTTACTCTCCTTTTGGGTTTGTTCTCCTTTTTCATGTTACTGTGGGCATATGCAGATGAGACTGTAGCCATTTTGTTACTAAATAAATCCTTGCATGTCAAGGACAGTTGATGCAATGATGTATTTGGTGAAGGTGCTGATATGAACCCTGTGAAATGCATACAGAATATGGTTTTAAGTAGTAGGAAGCTTTGACTTTCTTTCTTGCCCAAGAAATACAAAATAAGTATTGCGGGGGGTGGGGGGAGTTTAATAGTAATAAAAAACTTTAAATATCGTCTGCCTTTGGAAGATTTAATTTAAGTTACCTGGAGAACAAGTGTCAATCTGAGTATCTTTTTAAGTGGCTTAATTGCTCTTTGTTTTCTACAGACATTTCTAAATGATCATGTCAATCATGGGAAAATTGCAGTTACAAATATGTATCTGATCTGCATTATAGTAGCATTTGGTATAAACCTGGAATAAAAGGTTCCCTGGTACTGCAAAAGTAGCATGTTTCTATTTCTGCTGGAATGTCTAACATCATGCACTTCCAAATGACTGAGACTTGGTAATATCTTCATTTAACCTGAGCAAATGAGCTATAAAAAAACAAATAAGAAACGAAGAAAGGAAAAACAACTTGTATCTGTGGATGCTTTGATTTTTTTTTTTTTTTCTGAAAATGTAATGCTAAAAAATGTGTCAAGCTACAGGGACAATTTCTCAGAAGTAGTTAGAGATTAATCTATATCTAACAATTGATTCTCTTTGAGTTAGATTTTTTTTTATTTTATTTATTATTTTTTTTTTTTGGATTTTTTTTTTTTTAACTGGGGGGAAGATCCATTATATGCATTTTTAAAGTAGGTGTGAAGTATCTTTGCATGTCAGTTGGGTTTTTGGTTGCATATATATGCAGCACCAATATCTAATTTTCTAAACTACCCCACTTTCTTTGTTTCCTTCCAAAGCTTATACAAAATACTCTGGGAACAAAAGAAATACACTGGGTTTTCAGTTATAATAGCCCGGATTATCTTTTACGTTTAGTCAGCGGCACTACGGCCTTTTAATTTTATTATTGAAATAACTTGGTTGTATTTCATGACATATTATAATAGTTTACAGACAGGGCTAAATATGATTTGTGACTCCTACCTCAAGAGGCAAACCAGTTATAACTGCCCCTGAATATCTGTAATGTTAATTCAAAAAATTGTAACACTAAAGTCTTTTAGAAAAGTAAGTTATGCTTTAATAGCTTTTAATGGAAATCAAATACTTTAAAAAAAAAAAAAAAAAAAAAAGGGACAACAATCTTAATTTAAATAGATGTTGGCAACTGTTAGGTCTTTGTTCCTGTCTTTTAAAAAAAAAAAAGTAATCGATACTGTAATGGAAGAATGGATTGTCCATGTGACTAGTTTGTGGTTCTGACTGGGGGGTGAATTACATGACTGACTTACGTTAAGTACTCCTTTTCCCGCCCCCCCAAGAGCTTTGGACAGTCTTTTAAGATGTGGTTATGTCTTGCTGTGCTGTGATTTCTTAGCCATTTGACACAATTGAGAGGTCTGTGCAATTCACCTCAATTCAAGTTTATTTCATTGCTTTAAATCAAATGTCGGCACTGCTCATGTGGCTGTTTGGCAGCTTCACTCATTCCTTGTCATGTGTCAGACTGACATACTAAACTAAAAGGGAACAACATTGTGTGTACCGTTTAGCATAGTCTGTATCCCTTGAGATAATGTTGTCTTACAGACAAAAATTAGTTTTGCCAAGTTAGCGCGGGTGGCAGAAAAGGTCGAACTAATTTGCCTTAAGTATTTCTGTCATTGCAAAATATCTCCTGTAACAGAAAGATATTTGAAACGTTTCCCTTTTTAAATGTAATTTGTAATTGCTGCTTTAAAAGTCACACAAATGGATCTTGAGAAAATGAATACTGTAAATACACTTGTCATACCTTAAATAAAGAGGTACTTTTTCTATTTGGTGGCCACATGTGAGTTTGTCTGTTTACTTGTTTGTTTGTTAACTGACACTTCTAAGAGAACATTTTGCCCTATTTTACTCTTGTAAAGTGAGAGAGTGCAGTGCTTGTCTGTTTTTCTGTATTGCATAGTGGGGAGTGGAGTCTGGAATGTATCTTGTCTTGCATTTGACAGACTGATACGGGAAGTTTGCCTGCTTTATTTCAAAGCAAGTATCTTGTTTGCTAAAGTTTTGTATTCATACATTTTGTAGGTAGGCATCCACTGCCAGTATGGTAAATATTGTCTAGTCTTTTAACAGAGTGGTTTCTTGACTTTCCCCTGCCCCTTGCAAGCAGCCGTCAAAAACACAAGCAGTGTCACCCAGAAAATGGGGGTTATCATCAGCTGAGGCTGAGCAGAGGCTATTCTAGTTTTACTACTAAAATGCTGTGTATTCTGGGCAGCTAACTTTCTCTTCTGTGCTTCGTACTTTTTGCCCTCCATCTCTTTAATATTGTAAATTCCTGCCTGCAGCATTTACAGTCTGTACTTTTAACTCTGGTAGTATAGCATCTAGCTTGAGGGAGCCCTTCTCACTTCTAGGTGGCTTCTGAGGTCTTACACTATTTTATTTGTGTTACAGTAGCACAGCATAGGATAACAAGATACTGTAATTAAAGCTGGGCAGGAAATAGCTGTTACACCTACGAATTTAAATTACAAAAAAAAAAAAAAGTGTGTGTGTGTGTGTTTAGAGAAAGCAGAGATCTTGCTGAAGCCCCCCCCCCTTGCTTCCTGCAAAGGAAAGAACTCATCTCAGAACAGTAAATAACCTGGGGTTGAAGTCCCTTCCCTGCCTGATTTTTTAGACCTGGACTTGAACCTGTTTCCCAAAGAGGAGTGACCTGATCATAAGTATTTGTGCTGATTTTCTATCAGTATTGTTGGAGACAGTTCCATGAACGCTGCTGAATGGGCAAGAAAGAAACAGCCTTTTGGGTCTTTCACATTTCAGTAAATGCCCAACCATCAAGCTGTGAAGTAAATAGTATTTCTCTTAAAATAGAACTATTAACCTGCATATGAGGAACCTTTCCCAATGAAAATTTAATCAAAACTGGCACATCGCTAGGAAAATTAGTGAGCCATTTTCTGACTTATTACACTAGATATCTTTAAAAAAAAAAAATCTAAAATTTGAGCTGCTTGATGGCATACATAGTAAAGAAATTTGACCTACAAAAACAAGTGTAGGATTGCCTTGGAACATAACTTTTTAAATATTTTCTTGATGAATTCCATCAAGCTTTTTAGTTACAAACTACAACGCTTTCCAGCTTGCCTAATTGAAATACCCAACTGGCTGGAATTTAGAAATAATGTTGGCAGACCAGCTAATTTACTCTCCTGAAAGTTATGATAAATGCCTATTTCTCTTAAAATTCTGTAAAATAACAATTTGAAGGTTGGCTTTAAAATACAGATGAAATGTAAATTAAGATTAAGCCATACTGACACTAGAAAATCTCAATAAGATACATTCCAGCAACTGATATTAGAATGGTAACAGGATGATGACAGAGTAGAACTAGAAAATCATGCATTGAATAAAGGGGATGCCATGCCAGGTGAGTTAAAACAGGGAAAGCAATACTAAATACTCTTTGAGTGCACCATATTTTTATATGAGAGAGAGAATGCACAACTGTCAAATTCCAGGCTTAGGGTCTACCTATACATGGTTTAAAAACTTGAGTGAAATGTATTGTTTGCCATGAATGTTAGAGGCAGGTGATAATTGATTCTGTGAATTTGCAGATAAAAATGTGATTAATTATTTAGTTAGAGCTTTTGTATGTACCTGAGCACTCAAGTGATGTCATGATACCTTACGATTTATGATTGACTGTTGTAGGTAGAGAATACTGTCCTTTAGATCAGGGGTTGTCAACCAGGGGTACGCATACCCCTAGGGCTACTTAGGTCATAGGGGGAACATGCAGGTGAGGATGGAGCGTGCCTTGGGGCATGGTGGTGGCATCTCTCCTGGCACATTCCTATACTTTGCTTCGTACCCTGAGGAGGGAGAGGGGTGCAGTGGGTACTCGGTCGCACAGGCGGCGCACAATTGCTGATGGGCCTCACGCCCAGCCAGCCCGCAGATCCGCATGTGCGACTGGCCATGGGCAAAGCATGTGCTGCAGTGCTGTGGTGGTAGCAGATGCAGCTGCCATGTGCGACCTCCCTCTCCTCCCCTGGCTAGCTGGCCAAGTGGCACCTGTGCGGCCTGCAGAGGGGCATTGCTGCCCTTGGCCCCCTCCCCAGCCTTACTGCTGGGAGCAGGCATAGCAACACACTCCCTGCCCCCTCCCCATCCCTTCATCCCACATACACTTGCCCCCCCCTCCCCCCCCCCACCCTTTTGTTTGTGTGGGGGGGGGGGGGGGGGGTTTCTGTCCCTGCCCCCTGCCCCCTGCCAGTCCAGCGACAGCAGCACCAGGCGTTGCATGGCTCTTGGGGCAGAGGCAGCAGGGTGCAAAGTCCAACCTGCAGCAGCAGCTGCCTCCACCTCATGCACAGCTCTGGGGAGCACATGTTTCCTGGGCCTCAGCCAGGTTGCGCGCAGCAGTGGGAGCCACCCCCACCTCCCCATGCCCCCCAAACAGACTGCTCTCATGGCTCCATCCCTCACTCCACACCGGCTGGGCAGTGCCTGCCCCAGCCCCACTCCCTTCCTCACCACAGGGGCCTCAATCTGCTCCCCTCCCCCCACCCACCCCTTAAAAAAAAGACAAAAATATAAAGGGGTACATGAGCTGAAACTTTGAGGCAGAAGGGGTACACTTGTTAAAAAAAGGCTGAAACCCTCTGCTTTAGATCATTTCAGAGTAAGCACATTAAAGGCTTGCTGATAAGTCCAGCAGTAGCAGTGACCTATCCACCATTTCAGAGTACACGCAGCATCCATATCGAGTCCTGTCAGGCTTGAGGTAAAGCATCTGATATTGAGCTCATCAACCAAGCTGCTGCTAGTGTATTTGCAGCAGTACATAGTTCATGTGCCTAATTTAACCTTTAGCTCCGTATCTGCTTCCTGCACTACAGTTTTGTGTCCTGTTCCTGCGTGCTATTGAATAGATGCCACATTCCACAGCAGCACTAGCTGCATTTTGGTGGAGGATGAAGTGATTTTTCTCTATGAATATATAGAGTCAGAGTATCTTATCTTGAATGTATATTCTGACCCAGATTGGTCCCTCTGTGGGTTTTCCCATTCACAATACAACACTAAACCTCCATTTGCTGGACAGTGAGGGCAAAATCACTCCCACGCTCCCTGTCCTGTAAATCAGGGAGAGAATCTACCCATTTTTGCCTTGAACTCTGCCCATAATGAAAGGCATTTCAGTATTGCTGAGCTACTAGTGAGGGTGGAGGATCGCAGAGAACCCCTGCTGAAAAGGATGGAAAAAGGAAGACAGCAAAAAGAGGCAGTGTTACTTTTAATCAGTAGGGGGAGCTAAAGGGAGAAGAAAAGCCCTACCCTGTCTCAGGGACTCTAGGTTCCCAGATTCTGTTCCTGACTGTCCCACAGTTGTAATTTTGAGCAAATTTTGTAACCATTTACTCTATTCACCACTTTCCCCAGTTGTAAAGAGAGGCTAGGCTGTCCCTCCAAAGATGTCAACCTAAATTTCATTAGCATTTTTAGGAGCTCAGACTGTGATAAATGACACAGAAAAGTCTACCAGTAAATCATGTATAGTGTACCAGATAAATATGTTTTACAGTCAGATCTGCATGGACTGTAGGGTTTTTGTCTTCCTCTGCAGCAGGGGGCATGGTCCTTCCTTGGATCACTTGAGTGTATTTTATGTCACTTTGTGGCAGCAGGACATGAACAGTGGATCCCTTATCCTCCTGTTTTACCTGTAGCATGTTAGGGTATTCTTGATGTTTTGGGACAATACACCTGATAGCTGTGTGACAGGGTTGTTTGTGTTGTTTTAAGAATAGGTTTGACACACTCTTAACTTCTAGGAATGATCCTGCCTTGAGCAAGGGGTGGGACTAGATGACCTCCTGAGGTTCCTTCCAGCCCTGCTTTTCTATTAATTGCTTCAGAGTGGTAATCCATAGTGAATCCATGCTGACTATTCCTAATCACCTTCTCCTCCAAGTGCTCAGAAATGCATTCTCCGAGGACTTGCTCCATGATTTTTCTGAGGCTGACTGGTCTGTAGTTCCCTGGATCCTCCTTCCTTTTCTTAAAGATGGGCACTATTTTTGCCCTTTTCCAATCTCCTAAAAACCTCCCCTGATCGCCACGAGCTTTCAAAAATAATGGCCAGCAATCACACTTGGCCAACTCCCTTAAGCACCCTCGCATCCATTGCATCC